ACCTATGTGGTCTGAGAAGTTGGTTGGTAGAATTTCAATCTTTTTGAATTTACTGAGGCTCTTTTTGTGGCATAGTATGTGGTCTATTCTGGAAAATTTTCCATGTGCACTTGAGAAGAATGTGTATCCTGCTGCTTTTGGGTGTACAGTTCTGTAGATGTCTGTTAGGTCCATCTGTTCTAGTGTGTTGTTCAGTGCCTCTGTGTCCTTACTTATTTGAGGGATGTGTCCTTTGGAATGAGTGGTGTTTTGAAGTCTCCCAGAATGAATGCATTGCATTCTATTTCCTCCTTTAATTCTGTTAGTATTTGTTTCACATATGCTGGTGCTCCTGTGTTGGGTGCATATGTATTTATAATGGTTATATCCTCTGGTTGGACTGAGCCCTTTATCATTATGTAATGTCCTTCTTTATGTCTTGTTACTTTCTTTGTTTTGAAGTCTATTTTGTCTGATACTAGTACTGCAACACCTGCTTTTTTCTCCCTATTGTTTGCATGAAATATCTTTTTCCATCCCTTGACTTTTAGTCTGTGCATGTCTTTTGGTTTGAGGTGAGTCTCTTGTAAGCAGTGTATAGATGGGTCTTGTTTTTTTAGCCATTCACTGGCTCTATGTCTTTTGATTGGTGCATTCAGTCCAGTTACATTTAGGGTTGTTAGAGATAGGTATGTACTTATTGCCATTTCAGGCTTTAGATTCGTGGTTACCAAGGGTTCCAGGTTACTTTCCTTACTATCTAAGAGTCTTAACTTAACTCACTTAGTATGCTTTTACAAACACAATCTAAAGGTTCTTTTCTATTTCTCCTCCTTTTTTTCCTCCTTCATTCTTTGTATATTAGGTATCAAATTCTGTACTTTTTGTCTATCCCTTGATTGACTTTGGGGATAGTCAATTTAATTTTGTATTTGCCTCACAATCAGCTGCTCCATCCTCCCTACCATGGTTTTACTACCTCTGGTGACAGCTATCCAACCCTAGAAACACTTCCATCTATAGCAGTCCCTCCAAAATAGACTGCAGAGATGGTTTATGGGAGGTAAAGTCTCTCAGCTTTTGCTTACCTGGAAATTGTTTAATCCCTCCTTCAAATTTAAATAATAATCTCACTGGAAAAACTAATCTTGGTTCCAGGCCCTTCCTCTTCATGGCATTAAATACGTCATGCCACTCCCTTCTGGCCTGTAAGGTTTCTGCTGAGGAGTCTAATGTTAGGATTAGGAGAGGAAAGACCATCGGCTTTCCTTTGTATGTGATCTTATTTCTGCCTCTGGCTGCTTTTAATAGTCTGTCCTTATCCTTGATCTTTCCCATTTTAATTACTATGTGTCTAGCTGTTGTCTTCCTTGGGTCCCTTGTGTTGGGAGATCTGTGGATCTCCATGGCCTAAGAGACTATCTCCTTCCCCAGATTGGGGAAGTTTTCTGCAACTACCTCCTCAAAGACACTTTCTATCCCTTTTTCTCTCTCTTCTTCTTCCGGTATCCCTATAATGCAAATATTGTTCCGCTTGGATTGGTCACACAGTTCTCTCAATATTCTTTCATTTTCAGAGATCCTTTTTTCTCTCTGTGCCTCAGCTTCTTTGTATTCCTCTTCTCTGGTTTCTATTTCATTTATTGTCTCCTCCACAGTATCCAACCTGCTTTTAATACCCTCCATCATGTTCTTCAACAATTGGATCTCTGAGCTGAATTCATTCCTGAGTTCTTGGATGTCTTTCTGTACCTCCATTATAATGTTGATTATTTTTATTTTGAACTTCCTTTCAGGAAGAGTCACGAGGTCCATATCATTTAAATCTTTCTCGGGAGTTGTATTAACAATTTTACTCTGGACAACGTTCCTTTGGTGTTTCATGTTTGTATGTGGCGCCCTCTCGTGTCCAGAAGCTCTATTCTGGAGCTGCTCAGCTCCTGAAGCAATGTCCGGGGTTGCAGGGGATTGGTACTGGTGCCCCGTTCGCTGAGGTCTGCTCTTTTCTCCAGGTGTGTGCAGTCTGACGCCGTCCTCTTTCCTGTTGTTCTCTCAGGATTATTTGCACCAATTAAATTTTCTAATTGTATCCAGTTTTAGGAGGAAGCCTCTGTCTCTCCTCTCACGCCGCCATCTGTAATCTCAGTCTTGTCTTTGACTTTTAAAAATCAATTTCCTATAATGCACTAATTTTCAATAATTTACATTCAGAAAAAAATGATTTTTGTGTCTTTCCACCAGTATAAAATTTCAACTCCTAACATATTTTCTCCTACAGCCTATGTTTCTCACTAAAAATATTTATAATCATGCATATCTGAAAGATGAAGCTGCAATACCCATTCCCAAACTCATTGGTCACCTATTCTGACTTTCCTTTACCTTACATTCTGATGAATGATTTGAGACAGAATTTTTTAAAAACTCAGAACAAAACAATAACTCTTTCTTCCATACTCCCCATGATTCATTTCTTCTTTATTCCTGAACCCTTGTTAATCACTGGTCACCAGCCGTCCAATCCACTACCGTGTCCTAACCTAGGTTTTTCAGGTCTCTCAGTGGATTATCTGGAGAAAATTGCCTACCCATTTTTCTAAGATACCCTGTTACTCTAGAAACCCATCAGGGTCCTTTCCTACTCCCCAGTTCCAAATTTCCTCCGACTTGTAATTGGATAGAAGGTGAGAAAGCTTGTCTAACAGTCTTGTGATATTTGTGGGAAAAGATCCTTTTGTGAGCAGAGTGCACCTACATGTCTTTGACAGACTTGACATGTCGTGAGGAGGACAAAATAAGTATGAATGAAAAATACAGAGGGAAGTATTCAAAAGACTTGCTGGGACACTACCATAGTTCTCTTATATCTACACATGTATTTTTGTGGATATATGTTAAAGTAACCACAGGTGGTCCTTTCTTTTCCCCTCAGGGCTGAATCAACCTCCTTTGTATCCTCCCGTTTTGAGACTCTGAAGCTTAAATACTTCCATTATAAAATAACAGAACTTATGGAATTCCACAGTATTAACGATATTGTATATTTGAGGTTGTCAGAGTATATGGATGGTTCCTCAGTGTACTCTAAACTGAGATGATGATGACTCACTGCACTAATCAACATAATACGAAGTTAGATATACAACATTTTACTCCATCTCTTATAGGACATGCTTCCAATTTTGTGTCTTTTCATTTATTCTGTTCCCTTGCTTCTTTCTTTTTATGGAAGATTTATGATCCTTCTAGGGTTTGTAATGAACGATTGCATGTGGTTTGGGGAGATAGTTCTCTTTTTGCTGGGAATGGATCCTCTTAGCCCCCTGGTAGCAGGTATTTGGAGCATGGAGTGATCTATTCAGGCACACTCTATCAGTGTGATAAAATACTATAAATACTATATTGTAAATACTCCAGGTGATGAAATACCATAAATACTATACAAAATGCCATAATCTAAATTCTCTGAAGGCCTATTTGGTTAAATATATGCATATAATTAAGACAACTAATCTTTTCAGTTCCCCTGAAAATCTGTTTAATTCTAGAATTCTAGATACATTTTTTAAAAATTTAAAAAGCTGAGGGTGGTAATTATTAATAAAACATGTGACCATTTTTATGAATCTCTGTGATCCTAATTTTAGTAATATATCTATTAACAATTCATTTGTCTGAGGAACATTATGTCTGAGCTAAATATACTTTTGGAATAGAATCACATTACCATTTATTCCTTCAAGGAGATCATTACTTTCCCACTCATCAAAAAGGACTGCACATTTAAAAGTGAGCTTAGAGAAGGAGATTGTAGAAGAGTGATATAACAATAGCATTTTAAAAACAGTTTAGTTTTTTTACTTTTTTGGCACTACGATAATGAGCTGTTGGACTATTGTTTTCAACTATTTGAAATGTAATTTGTGGACCTTAACTTTAAATGTGAATGAAGCTGTTCTCAAAATTAGTAATAGTTCAGTACACACTTTCTGTATTTGGGTGTGTGGTAGATAAAATGCTCAAAAGCACTATTCTAAGTGAATAAAAGTAATTTTAAGAAGAATTCATTTAATGTCTGCGTATTAAGGGGGAAATTTGTGGGATGGTAAATATGTGGATTTCTTGTTTTAATACTGCATTAATTCTAACTTCTGAGTAGTAAATCCTATCAGATTTCTTTCACAGTGAGATTGTCTGTTACTCAATCTTACAGTATAAACTTTGACTTAATTTACATTTATGCTAGATTTTCAAAAAAATTGTTTAAAAAATAGTATATTAAAATACTGTTACAGAAAAATTAAAGACAGCACTATTGGTAGTGAAAGGCTGAGATATACAATTAAAAATACTAGGACTTTATTTTTTCCAAGCATTTTATATTTATTTAAGATTTTAGAAATAAAATGTCATGTATATTATTACTACATAACAGAACAAACTTAAACAGTGAGGTGGTATTGATAGAATGGCTTTTGTCATTCAGTTTCCCTTCAAGCATTGAAAATGCAATGACTTTGTAAAATGAATGGCTAAACTTAGGTTCAGAAGTATTTATGTGTTATTTTTATAAAGCATGCAACATAGGCTTTAAAAGTACTTTATCATTTAAATTTTTATGGTGTATGAAAAACTGCCCATAAAACAACTGGGATGAAATGTGGAGATCTAATTCTGTGTGCATGTGTTTTCTTAATATTAGGCCAAAGATCCAAAGATGTAAAATCGAAAACTGTAAGAAAAGAATTTCATCTGTTTTGATTTACTCTTTGAGGATCACTTTTTTACCTAGCCCTCCTACAAAGAACCCAAAATTTCAGATTCATTAATAAGAAATGTAAAGTTTCAAATACACTGTATTTTGTGACACAGCGAAAATCCCAAGTTTTTTAGATAATGTAAGCAGTGCATAGTATAGGCACTCCATAAGCATTTGTAAATTTTGGCTTTGCTATATTGATTCTACTAGGATGCCTGTCCCGTGAAGTGAGTATAATCAGAGACCGAAACTACAGAGCCAGTAACTTGGGGTGTAACAAAGAAGGAATCAGAAGTATAAATGAATTAGAAGAATCAATAGAATTTGTCCATCTTGCCATTAGTGTTTTCCTTCAGTTAACAAATGTCAATCTATTAATTTCCATATGTTGATTTAAACATATATTAAGTGATACTTTGTTTATTAGTTACTCTACCTTCTTAGTTCTGATAATTTCACTTGCTTCTTTGTATTCCCTACATCCCTATCAGTAAATCTTTGGTGTTCGGAAGCTGGAGACTCTTCTAATAACTAGGTAATCTAAAATACGTGTATTAGTTTGCTTGGGCTGTGCAATGAAGTACCAGAGATTGGTCGGGTTTTTAAATGACAGGTTTTTATTTTGTCAGTTCTGGAGACTAGAAATCCAAAATCAAGGGGTCAGCAGGGCTGGGAGGGAAGGATCTATTCTAGGCCTCTCTCCCCTTGTCTTGTAGATGACCATCTTCTTCCTGTAACTCTTCACACTGTCTTTACTTTGTGTCCAAATTTTCCCTTTTTATGAGGGCACCAGTAGTACTGGACTAGGGTCCACCCTAATGACCCCACAATTCAACCCATGATAGTGTGCAAGCTACAGTGAGGACTTCCAGTTACAATTCACCGTATTTATTGGAGTCAATAGAAATGTGTGAGACTCTAGAAGTCACTTCATTTTTATAACTTCGATTTTCTAGAGATCAGCTTTTCAATTATAAAAAAAAATTGAATGATTTACTTATTTATTAATTATTATTTTTCAATTTTCTGGGTATAGTTGATGTATATTAGTTTCAGAAGTACAACATAATGATTTGATAGTTGTATACACCGAAAAATGATCACGTAAGTCTAACATCTGTCACTTGACACAGTTACAAGAAGCTTTTTTTAATTGTGATGAGAACTTTTAAGTTCTACTCTCTTAGTAGCTTTCAAATATACAATACAGTATTGTTAGCTATAGTCACCATGCTGTTCTTATATTCCCACTCAACTTTTAAATCTCAGTAGTTTTACGAGTTAAGCACTTCCTTTCGAATCACTAGTAAATAGAAATCCTGGGATGGAAATTTTCCTTTTTCACTGCCTTCCTTTTTCTCTCTGGATACAAGTTACCCATGCATTCCAAAGGTATATCTATTTATACTTTCCCCAAAACCTTAGCCTTGGGAATAAATTTTTAGCTATATTCACAGATAAATGAAAGACATGCAACAAAACAATTCTAAGGAAATGTCTTTTACTGTGTTAGTGGTGATAAAACCATTCACAATTTTACAGTGCTATTCATTCATTCATTTATTCAACAAACAGCTATTGCACGTCTTCTGTATGCCAGGCGCTGTTCCAAGTGCTGGGATACAAAGGCGAACACTGAGCACTCTGACTTCAGGGCTTTAAAGGTACAGCAAAAGTGGGGACAGTTTTTTATTGACACCTCTTCTCTATTGAATTGCCCATCTGATTTTATAGTTGATTTTTAAAATGAATTGTATTTTATAAAGTCTGTCGTGCTTTAACATCAGTTTTCTTGTTTTGGCTTTTCTGACATTTTGAATTGTGACTTAGGTTTTCCTATCAGACTGATGGATGGAGAAAATAAGAAAGAAGGACGAGTGGAGGTTTTTATCAACGGCCAGTGGGGAACAATTTGTGATGGTGGGTGGAGTGATAAAGATGCAGCTGTGATCTGTCGCCAGCTTGGCTACAAGTAAGGAAAACCTAATTATTTGGGTTGGTTATGTGATGAATATTTCTGACTTTTAAGGGTTGTTCTAATGAGTTGTTTCTTACCTAAAATTAATTTGTTATTCAGTTGAAAATACTGGCAGTATGTTGATTTAATTTTGAATTATAAAGAAATATTAAGTGGAGTCTATTTAAAATTTTCCCATTTCTCACAAGAAATATACAATTATGTTACATGAGAAATACCACTTTTATCTAATACCATATAGTCTAATTTAAACTCATGACTCTTCTTAATACTTCCTTTGTCAGGCAAAGGTGTTAACCTTTTCTTTGATTTATGTTTCGACACTGTAACCTTTTAAAAGATTCTAGATTTATTGAAATTGCAGTTGGTTCCCTATATTTATAGTAGCTGTGTTCTCTAAAGTCACTGTGAATGCTGAATTAGCAAATACTGAGTCATTGCTTCAAGAACTGAGGTTGAACAAGGCAATCCTCTGCTTTCTTATTTTAGCTCTTCTACTTCCTAACAATTGTCCTTTTTGTGGTTTATTAGTATTTTTTTGATAGTTTCACTGTTTAATGTGGCCTCCACTGTTTAAGTGCTGAAGTGCCCTGTAGCATTCTTAAGTGCAAGAAGCTATGATGTGCCTTATGGAGAAAATAAGCGTGTTAGATAGGCTTCATTCAGGCATGAGATGTAGTGGAAAAACATAGCACTAAGTAGACTGGGAAAAGGACACTTGTTTATGTTTGAGAGCTGAAATCAAAAGGCAGATTGTCTTGTGAGATCTCTACGGGCAATGCAAATTTTTTGAGGCTTTGTGCAAGTCTGCATATGACTGTGAAAGCATTTCAGGTATTGATTTTGGAGCTGCAAATATATGGAACATGTTTCAGTTAAAGGGTTTTGAAATTTAAGTAAATATACATAAATTGCCTAGGTATATTACTCAAGTAGATTACTAACCATGGTTTCAATTTAAAAATATGTTTAATTATATATGTGTATGTTAAATATTAATAAATTATTCCTATACAGAATATATTTTTATTTTTTATTTTTTAAAAGTATTTCTATTTTAGTAAAAATTCAAGTGTTTTTTCCTGAAGTTTTAATTCAAAGTTTTTTGTTTTTTTTTTAAATTAAATACTACTACAATTTACTGCTCAGTTTTGGCCCCAATTGCAATTCCAAGTGTCTTATGATCAACGGGCTCATTATTTGGTGATATAAATTTTCAGTGTTCAAAATTGGCATGTGACATAGATTTTCCGCTTTCAAAATATGGGATAGTAGAGGAAGATGGGAAGAGTCTACATGAGATGCCTAGGTTAATTTAGTCAGCAATATAAGTTTTCTTTGCTTACTACATTCGTGAAACTCCTTCCAATGTTTGAAAAAAAATTACTGTTTTCATCCCCAGTGAATCTCATTATCCAAAAATCAGCCGATAAAGTATATTGCTATTCGAGACTGGTTTCTTTGCCATACTTTTATTTTTTTGGATTTAGTGATCCAGGAAACCTAGTATTATGTTTGGAACTTTGAAAGGAAATAGGAAGGGTAAGATTAAATTTGATCCTTGAATCACATGTCTAAGCCAGGTTTAAGGAGGGATAAATTCATAAGCATACTCATCATGCATTTGCACCTTTATTTCTTTCTACATCTTTCATTGCTTTTTACTTAGCATCATTTACTCCATTTTACATTCAACTCGGTGAATTTAGGGACAAATAATACAGATTAGTTGAACAAAGTTTGTAGCAATTTTCAATACTATTTCTAGTAATTATCAAGAAAAGCATTGAAAGGAGATCATTGTGTAATTGTTCTTTAAATAAAGTCTCTTAATAAGTAAATCAGTAACTTAATGTTGCATACAAATTGGAAATCATCTGTGCCCAACCTATAATTTGCCATCAGATAATATTTAAATGAGAATCATTTATATATTTGATCAATCTAAACATCCTTGGCCATTTTTATAATTTTCCACTGAGGGGAAATGGAATTTCATATAAGAACAAATATGCATATAATTGTAAACTAGCGTGTGACTAGAGTAAGGGATTTTTTTCCCTCACGTCCACTTTGAATTGTTAAAAATCCTTAATAAAGCATTTGTTTCAAGAAATCAATCCAGGAAACTTAAGCTGTTGAAGGCTTGAGTCTTATTAATGGGAATTCCAGAGATCTGTTCCACAGCCAACTATATCATATGTGAGGATTAGTCCTTGGTAACAGTGAGAATCAAAATAGCTTTAGAAAATTTTTTCACAATGGGAGAAACCGAAATGAAGTAATAAAAACCAGGAAACATGAATAGCAAGTAATATAAATAATGCTTAGATTTAGAGTAATGGAAAATAATAAGTAATGGGTAATGATGTGTTACATAATGTCTGACAAAGTCGAGCATATGATCATATTGTTTTAGAGGGTTGAGAGAGAATGTGTTGATATCAATTAAACTCATTAAGATTAAATAAATAGCCATGATGAACATTCCATTCTTTTTGAACTTTGTGTGAATCCATTAGCATGTATTTCAACATAACATTGTTCTTGAACTGCATATATATTTTCGAGTGGTATCCCTTAAAAGAATCCCTTACAAAATGGTGTACACCTACTAATTTGGTAGAGACATATAATTAAATATATCTAATTTTATCTTATAGTTAAATAGCTTCAAAGGATTTAATGTCTTGCATATTTGTATATGGTGTTTGAAAAAAGAACACTTATATCATCACTCTTTTAGTTATTTCCAGTGAAATATAAATATGACAGTGATTTGATATTCTCTGTCATCCACTTAAAAAATACATGAGCAAACTCTTCTTTGACCTTCAAAACTTTTGCATAATTCTTTTTACTTTTTGAAATTGTATTTGAAATTTTCTTTCCCACAGAATCCTAATGTTAGAATGCTTATAGAAATGTGTGAGTATACACATATATACTTACATACACACATGAAGAAAGCAAAAGTGAGAGAAAAGAAATTCTTCTAACAAGGTCCTCTCTTGATTTTATGATTTCTAATATGCAACTTATTAAAAACAACAACCAAAAATTTGATAAAGAATTATGAAACATAGGCATTAAAAGCTGACCAAAGTTCCCATTTCTTACTTTGATTGATGGGTTGGATTTATGTGCTTGATTAAAGGAGGCTCCTTTGCTGTCATGTTTTTGAAATGTTCTTTTGGCCACTTTAGAGGCTTTTAAGTGTTGGAGCAGTGAACTGTGGTAGGATTTGGGATAAATAAAAAATATGCCTTTCTTTTGTGGGATAGGAGAAAGAAAATTTTGAAAGAGAAGTTGATCTTGATTCAGCAAGACCAGTTTTAGGAGGGACTATAACTGGAATTGGAGAAGCTGAATATTCATTTTCTTAAAGCCCAGGTATACCTTGGAAAGTTACTGTCTACTACCAGGAGCACTTTAACCCCTGGTTAAAGACTGATACATTAGAGCCTATCGTTTCTTTGAAATCTTAGCTTTGAATTACTGTGTGCCTGTATCCCAGTGGGTAGTTTCTTTCCTTTTGCCTATACATGACATAGTCCTTAGTTATTTCAAAAAATAGTCAAAAGAATATTTATTAGATGTCACTGTCTTTAATTTAATCATGGTCTTTTATTGTTAAAGTGTTCTCTAATTTCTATTTATTGCTTTTCTAAAATGGTGCCTTCCTTTTAGTCTGTAAGTTGATTGCTAAATCTCTAAGAAGTCATCCTTCTGTTTTGTTTAATGAGTGTAATTTTATTTTCTGTTTACTTCTACTTGTCATCTACTTTTATGCAATCATACTTTATTGTCTGTTCTTTGTGTAACCTGTTTTTGATTTGCGAACAATCCAATTTTATGTTCTCTTTCTTTTCTCTAAGTGATTAGAACTTCAGCATTATTACAGTTTTGCTAGTCTTTCTCCTTAAATTTTTAGCAAACTAACATATTTTCTCACCAATGTCAAAAATCAGTATTTTTTTCCTTCCCTTTCCTGAAAAATTTCAAGACATTTAGCAAACTACTGTTTACTTTCAGTCTCTCCTCATTCTCACTCCCCAAACTGATGGGAATCACCTGGAACTTTAATTTCAGAATGCTATTAAGTTTTTTTCAAATTATGCTTATTTGAATTTCAAATTGCTTTACATTTCACATCCACATTATCAGCAATTATTTCCTTTTTAAAAAAAAAGACTAATAAAGTAAACAACAATGTCTGGCAATTCCAACTTAGAAAAAGGAACGAGAATACAAGTAAACATTAGAGAAAAGAAAGGAATACAAAACCAGCCACACAGAAGGTTAACACATGTAGAAGAATACTATGAACTACTTTTAGTTAGTAAATTTGGAAATCTAGAGGAAATTGACAATTATCTAAGCAACTGTACATTTTCAACAAAAATGTAATTATGAAAATTGATAGAAAACCAAAATAAACTAATGGCTGTAGAAGAAAAGACTGATTTTGCAGCACTTTGTCCAGTCTTCAAGACACAGATAATCCCTGAGTTATACAAATTGTTACAGAGCAAAAAAAAAAGATGGAAATCTTTCCATTCACTTTATGAGGCTAATCTAACTTGATATCAAGACGAGGTCAGTACACACACACAAACAAAAAGAGCTGTATCCCATCTCATGAATCTACATAAAGAATTCTAAACAAAATATTAACAAATTTAATCCAATAGTGTTTGTTTTTAAACAATGTACCTCAAAGTCTATTGTAAGCATGTAAGAGTGGGTCAAACTGAGGCATTCAATTAATGTATTTGCTTTTCATAATTATGTCGTTAATTTATTAGGAATTGTACTTGGATATTTAAAAAGAAGTAATGTATTATTTTTACAAAAGTTTATACCAAGAGTAGGTCTGCCTTCTATTGACATTCCTGGTTTAATCTTTCTTTATTAAAAATCGTGCTTTTTTTACTTCTAAAATAGGCTTTAAAATTCTTAACTCCTGAGGTAATTACTTAATCTCATGCTTTTCTTGCAATATGTTACCAATTTTGAGAAACTATTATGCTTTGTAAGGAGTATAAAATTTTGAAATGATTTTCCTTCATGCTTAAATAGTTAAAAACTCTCATGAATTTTTGATACGCCATTAAATGTGAGTTTCTTAGTAGAAGCTAAATTAGAGGCAGCTTTGGGGTATGAAAACAATAAGAAGGTACAGTTATTCTCTCTTTTAAGCTTTTCTTTGACTGTCATGAAATAAATGTTTTTTAGCACGTACAGATGCTAATGTTAATATATGAGAGTTAAGAAGTATAATTGAAAGAGGGTTATGTTGTGATTTATTAAAATGTATGATTGACTGATTCACCACATCCTTAAGAAAGCATTGTTTGCAGGGGTCCTGCCAGAGCAAGAACCATGGCTTATTTTGGGGAAGGAAAAGGACCCATCCATGTGGATAATGTGAAGTGCGCAGGAAATGAGAGGTCCCTGGCTGACTGTATCAAAAAGGATATTGGAAGACACAACTGCCGCCACAGTGAAGATGCAGGAGTTATTTGTGATTATTTTGGTAAAAAAGCATCAGGTAACAGTAATAAAGGTAAGTCACTTCTGGGGACTACACAAGTCAAAGAATACTAACCCCAGTTCATTATTATAAGCAGGACCAGGATAACAAAAATGCCCTTCTGAAAGAATATATACCACCCCTTGTTCCTTCCTGACAAACTTGACTAGGGGGTGCTTATAGGGAGAGTAGGGTTTGCGGAGGGCAGAAGTGGACTTCCAGTATTTTGTAATGTCTGGATCATCCCCTCTTGACATACTCAGCCATTTCTGTACCAGTCTTTCTTGGGATGTAATAAAACCATCAAACTTTCTGGTATCCTTAAAGATTCAGAATTGATGTTTACATAAAAAGAAAGAGAGAAATGAAAATGTAAATATGAATCATAAGTGCGTCTACCCTTACTAATATTGTAAATAACAGAGCTAACTTTTAAAATTACTTGCAAATCTTTTGCAGATTTTATTTTCTGAAATTTGAGAATATAAGAAAAGTGAAAAGTAATTTTTTAGTATAATAGTTACAGATGTTTCATATTTAAATAAGTGTAAGAGTTCTTGAAAGCTCTGAATTTAATTTTGTCAAAAAATACTGCTTTAACTGAATAAGGGGAAGAATTAGCTATTTTGGAGAAAAACATGGTTACTCTTATGAAAAGAACAATCACCTCTTTGTTCATATGGGAAAGTTCACAGTTTTAACACAGTGGATTTTCTTAAAATCAGGTGCATCTATACTTCAGTATTCTCTTTTTCTAACCTCTTTTAATAACTGCTAAAGACAATGCAGTAAATAAATTGGATGCTGTCGATATGATTCTTCAGTATCTGAGGGGCTTTTGAATGTGGAGAAGAATACATACAACCTTTTGTGCTTTGTTTTATATTACCTATGATTTGGTAAGCCAGTTTTTCCTCAGTATTGATTAATATATGAATGTATTAAGTTCTCTTAAATAATTTAAACTATAGTTACAAATTGAATATAACTAATTCCTTATATTCTGCTGAATTTCTCAAGTGGTAGAAAAACATAAAAATTCAATAATTATAAAAGGTTTTATTATGTTTCAATGTAAACCTATTTTAAAATATGAAGTGCCATGTTTATTTCTTATTCATTTATACATTTGTTTTTATGCCATCCTAGAGTTGTAGCAAGACTTACTTTGATACCTTTCCATGGTTTCAATGCTACCATACCTTAAGAAGATTTCATGTTAGACCAGCTTGATTACTAAATTTGGCTTAATAGCCTGTTGGTTTTGTGTTGAGGCTCAAGACCTAGTGATTTCTATAAGGTGATTCAAACTCAAGCCGTTAGTTATTGTTCATATGATGGGATCCTTTAATAAATGAACTTCATTTTGCTTTCTTTTCTATCAGTGTATTTTATAGCTTTAAATAGATTTTACTTTATTGTAATCCAGTGCTTTGCCTCAAAGAATGATGTAAACTTTCAGTTTTGCTGGCTCAGTATTACATCATTGCTTGTCTTGGCATTATATATATTGACTTTTTGCCTATAATTACATAGTCCTTAGTTATTTAAAAAAATAGTCAGAAAAATTATATTTTTCTGAAATCTTATAATTTGCAGTATCATCTAGAGAATTCATATCCTAAGAGATGAGGATTAAAGTTTCACAGCATGCTTCTGAGATCATTTGGCAAATGAATGATTTTGGTGCACATTGTTAAACCTCTTTCTCTTAAGAAATAACTGGTTTGATTCTCCGCTGAGTTCCCTTCCACCTGGTTATTATGGGAGACCATTAGTGTGACCAGACTTTCATGGTCATGACACAATTTCCACATTTTTTTAGTAGTATCTACACTTTATACACATGTATATACTTACATGCATATATGTACATATAGATATAATATATATATGTGCATATAGATAAAATATATATATTATATATATACACACTTATATACATACTTACACTTAACCAAGAAATAACAACACCTTCTATAGATTCTCTGACTTCCTAAATTATTTTAGAAACTAGCCATACCTTATATTACTTAGTCTTCCTTTTCACATATTTTAAATTTAATTCTTCTGTTTTTAATGGTTTTGACAGAGGTTTGTTATCTTGGGAAGTTTGACTACATGCCCCTAAATATAATTTGCTTCTTAAATTGGCTTACCAAATCCTTTACACATATAAATATGCTATATAAGCAAATGTAAATTTAGACCAAAATTCCATTCTGGTAATGTGCTTTGCTCTTCTTAGTTATATTTGTGCTTTTGGCTTAGAAGAGTACTGTATGTATAAAGAAAGTGATTAGACTATTATTGCCTTTGTAGGTAGGTCTCTTGTTTAATGTTCCTGAACTCCAGAACAATCTCCATAATCAGGAGAGTTGGAGATGTAGGTGTAACTACAAGGATAATGTACTGGACAGGGTATCAACATTCAGCAGCCTGTGGAACCTCTTCAGAGCTGAATGTGGGAAACCTCTTAAAGTTCCTCCTGTGTTTGCAAATTATTGTTGCCCTGTTTAAATGAGAAGCAACTTTTGTTTATTACTAGAAGAAAAAGTATTCTGTAATTTGAGGAGAAGAGGTATTTTAAAATAGAAGAGGAAGCAGCAGGGGCATGTGTCACTGTGTCTTTATCCCCCTATCAGCAACATGGTGGTTTACTTAATAACCTGTTTCTGTTTCAGAGTCCCTCTCATCCGTTTGTGGTTTGAGATTACTGCACCGTCGGCAGAAGCGGATCATTGGTGGGAAAAATTCTTTGAGGTAAAAGGTTCTTCAGAAGAGATTTTCCATGTTGCAGGAATTATTTGTATACATAATATTACAAATTGGGAATTGTCTACTATTTTATAAGGGATTTTTTAAACTTATTTTTCTAAATTAAATTCAGATTACTCTAATTTCACTGTCCTCTGACCATGTTTAACCTTATTTTTCTAAATTAAATTCAGATTACTCTAATTTCACTGTCCTCTGACCATGTATAAGAACATGGACCGTGTTCTTATATCACTATCTCCTGCTTTATGAAATAGATGTGTTGCTGAGAACTTATGTGGTAGAAAGAAACTTGTTCAAAAGATCTGAAAAAATGTCTAACTACACAGTTCATTAGACTTAGAATATATTTGTTTTAGACTTGCTTTAATATACTTTTTTGTTGAATTTTCTGATGGAAAACTAGCATTTTGCATATTAAATACTTCTTAAATCTGCTTAGGTAGAGTAGTGAGGAGAGGAAATATACTTCAAATCATGAAATATAAAGAAGACCCAGCTTGTTTCCAAGAATGTCACAGATACGCAGATGCATACAAATGCCTATAAGCAAATCTTAAGGTGGTCTGCTCCAAGTTGTAGGGGCATCATTCTCAAAGTAGGAAGGGGTCTTACATCCTAGAATCCCTTTCATATTCCTTTCCTCTTAAGTGCAAACCTTCCAAGTCATTGTTTAATGTCTTAGATGCTTTTCTGTGCTTTTCTGCCTTTTATGGGTATTGATGGGTGGTTCACTTTCTTCTCAGGGGTGGCTGGCCTTGGCAAGTGTCCCTTCGACTGAAGTCACGCCATGGAGATGGCAGGCTCCTCTGTGGGGCCACACTCCTGAGCAGCTGCTGGGTCCTTACAGCAGCACACTGCTTCAAGAGGTGTGTGTCCACCTTAACAAACAACTAAGTTTGGCTCTTATTTGACATCTTCCAATCCCTTCCTGCCCTACAACATACTAGAAACTTGAAGTGGCAGAGGCAGGCTAAAGACCTCCACATCCAGTCCAGTTGCACCATCTTGGTATTGAGGGAGGTAATAATAGGAGAAAAGAGCGCCCTCAGGGAGCTCTTGGCTACCTGGTATTAAAGCAGACTCTAGATTTAGGGAGAAGAGAGGATGGGTTTTTGTAAGGAAGGCAGCTATATGTTAGTGCTTCCCCCCCAAGAATGTGTCTGAAGGTGAAATCATATCCCTGTAGAGCTAGAGGAGGCCTCAGATTATCTAGAAATGAATGCTAAGGAATAGGGAGTTTTGGTTTTTTTGACCCTTTGGTTCTTCTTGGTGTTTTTTGTCTTTGAGATTTTTCTATTTGTGCCTTGTAGAGAGTCAGGTTGCATCCTGATTATTTACTCTTGTCACAAACGTTTTATCAGTACAGTCTGAAGTTTTCCCAGTTCAGAGGGGAGCCCATGCAGAGAAAATCAGGTGCCAGCATGACACTGCTCACTGTGCCTACACTAGACGCAAGTTGTCCTTTTCCTGCCCTGTGCTCTTTTGTGGGCCTGTTAATGGTCATTTCCTTAGCAGGAATTTTGGTATTTACAAATGTACACCAGTGCTTGTCAAACTATTGATAATTAATGAAGCAAGGTGATGAGTAAGAGAATTGTTTATTTGAAAATAGTCATAATAAAAAGTTTTATTTTAAAACATATACCTTTCATTGAAGTTTTTATAAGCAAAAATTTGTTCATTTTTTTCATATATGGTATCATATGGCCTCACTGTATATTTGCAGTCCCTCCATATAGATTTTATTCACTTTAACCACTATTTGAATTTTAATGCCTTTTGTAAGATGAAACCATAGTTTATTTATTCCCCTACTGATGGATAATTAGGTGGTTTCCATTTCCATTCTTTTATTATGAAAAAATGGTTTCTGCAGTAGATATTCATTTATCTCATTGGGTACATAAATGTGCGAGCATTTTGTTGGGTCCTGAAGTACAGGCGCCGTTCAGTTTTACTAGGGACTACTAACTATACTTTCTAAAGTAATTGTATCCATTTATACCACAGCAATGTGTAAGTTCCCAGTTCCTCACATCCTCACCTCAACTTGATGCTATCAGCACTTACACTTAAAATTTGCCAATTTTAGAGTTTTGGGACTTCTTTTTAAATTCCATTTCTCTGGTTATTGTCTTTCATGAATTCTTTGTCCATATCCTTTGCTTATTTTTCTGTTGGATTATCTTTTTGTAATTGATTTTTCAAATTTTTGGATATATTCTGGGCCCAAAGTCTTTGTTACCATATGTTACAAATGCCTTTTCTCAAGCTGAGGCATGTTCCTTGTCTTGTTTAAGGTCTTTTTCTTATGAAGATATTTTAATTGCAATATTTTTAAATGTGTCAACTTTTTAAAGTTGATGAAAACTTTGTATCTTATTTAAGAAATCCTTCTCTAACACCGTATAATGAAAATACTATCTTAATTTTTTAGTAAAAAACTTTACAGTTTTGCTTTTCATGTTTAGATTTTTACTGTTTATAATTTATTTTTGTGTATGGCATACAGTATGAGAAAGGACCTAATTTTATACTTTTTTTAAGGAAAGCTTGTTTTCCCAACACTTTTCATGGACCATTCCATTCCTTACCCATTTATTTATGTCAACTATGTTATATGCCAAGTTTTCATGTACCTATGTTTCTAGGGTCTCTATTCACTTCCTCTTATTATTTTGATATATTCAAGGTGCTGCAGAAGATACAAATCTATATTTTACATAGCCTTTGTTATTAAACTCGGATAATAACTGAGTTTGAGAGTTCACCTATATACTAGTGAGTTTAATACCTTCATATGTTACATGAATGGCACAGACAGTAATGATGATAGTCATTCATTAACTTAACAAAAAATCATTGCACTAAAGATGTAGTGGAGAACAAGACAGATAGGATCTTTGCTATCATAATAATTTTTAGTGTAGCTGGATGACCCAGAGGAGGACACACTGATGTGGCTGGTATGATAGGAGCAGAAAAAGTTATGGCACTGTTTTTAAAGTGTGGTCTTTTCACCACAATATTAGATATATTCATCTTGTTAAAAATCCAGTTTCCTGGGTCCCTCCTCAGATCTACTAGATCTTTGGAGCTGAATACCTAGGAGCTTGCATTTTTATCAAGAATCTCAGATGATTCTTATGAACGCTAAAGGTTAAGACCCACTTGCTTAGTGGATAGAATAGAATGTGATCTGGATGTTTGAAGAATGATGATGAGGAAGAATGTAACTGAGTTGACTGGATACTTATCCTTGTCCCATTCAATGTATTAATCACTAAACTGAAAAAGAATACTGATAGTAAGGTAATTCTATTTTTGGATGCTAGGAGACTGGGAAGGACAAGATGTATGTTGGGAGATAGGCTCCAAGATGGTGAAAGATCTTGATTCATTTTTCTAACAGTGTGGAATAAGGAGGAAGTAAAATGCCGGCATTAGTTCCTGGAAACTTGGCTTAAATGAACCACAAGTGAAAAAAGACCTCATGAGTTTTGGTGTCCTGCTGCCCTCATATGAGTCAGCCGTGTCAGGCAGTTGCCCATTAGGTTAATCAGTTTTGGGCCGCGCTGACACAACGGTGTCCAGGCAGAGCAGCAGAGCCCGCTGCCTGTGCTCAAGCTCCTGGCGGGGACAAGAGTGCTGTCGCTCTGGGGGAGAACTGTGCTCAGTTCTGGGGCTGCACCGCGAAAATGCTACGTGGTGCACAAGGCAGGCAAACAGAAAGGGGAGATGCGTGGAATTGGATTAGATTGGTTATCCATGGCTTCAAATACCACAGATATTCGTGGGAGATCAGATAATTTTCATTTTAACATAAGAAAGAGGTTTTGTTTTTTGTTTTTATTTCTTTAGCACTAGAACAGTTCAAAGATGGATATGGGAGGAAGAGTAAGTTCTGTTTCGGAGTCTCTTTGAGCAGAGCGGCTGGATTTATGTATTAGTAGTAGGAGGTGGGTAACATCAAACATTGGGAGCATAGTGGTGAGAAAGCATAAAACACATTTGAAGGATGGCAGTTATTAGTTAGCATAGTGGATCTGGAATTTGTCTAGTGAACTTGCAGTAAAGAAGTAGGAAAGGCCTGGAATACCAGGGTAGTGAATTTCTGTTTCATTCACCAAGCAGTGGAAACCACTAGTGGTTTTTGAGCCTTGAATATGATCAAAGAGGAATTTTAGGAGATGAGTACTTTGAAAATACGTGGGATCGAACTGAGGTGGTAAAGCAAAGTTACTAATGTGAGGGTCTGAATGAGTTTCAAATTTCATGAAATCTTTGCATTTTGTGTGACTCAAATTGGAGTGACTTAAACTGGTCTGTTACCAAGTGATTGAAACTCAGGATGGCAGGGGAACTAGAGGGAGACTGATTATAAAGCTATTATAGTAGAAGGTGGAAACGAAAGGCAGAAGAGAAGGTAGAGACACTGTGATAGACATCAGAACGTGGTACTGTATGACAAGAGACATGGATCTGGCCATCAACACCAGAGTTACAGTTCTAACTCCTTCAATGGTCAATTGCCTAATTTTGTGGAAACTAGTTAATCTCTTGGATCCACAGTTTTTTCATCTGTAAAATGACAGCAGTAATGTTCCATAGTGAGTAACAAATGATCTGCAAAGTATGTGAAAGTATTTTATGAACTGTAAAATTCAGAACACATTAGCTATTATTATGTTGGAAACATAATTCCCAAAACAGGAATCAGATTGTTATTAGCAAAAGCAGGGAATCCAGGATGAGTTTATTTTACTGACTACTAGAGAAGAATAAGGGAGGAAACTGCAGAGAATCTGGGAAAGCCTGTTTGGGCAGTTTAGAGATTAGGCAAAATTAATTCAGTAGGTTCACTTTAGATTATCTACCCCTTATTCAAGACTCCTTGTCTATCAAGTGTCTGCTAAAAGTTACAGACTTAGGGGTTCAAGGCTTAAAGTATTAAAGTAGGGAAATTACCCCAAAATTATACTTGAGTTTGAAAATTTTGATTTGACTTGCGGGTTCCCTGGAAGGTCTTTTTCTTTCTTTGTTTCTTTTTTATTATTTTAGATATATGTTTGTTTACACGTCATTATTTCTCCCTTGGCTGGCTTCTTCTAGTTTATTGCTTCAAGTCAGCAATCACTTCATTTGTGTTTATAAACCAAATGCCTTGTGTATTGCTTGGCACATAGTAGATACTACTAAATGATTGCCGCATGATGAAGCTGTGGGTGCAGCTGCCAGATAGTGGATATATGTAAGAATGTTGGACTCTTTAGAGTTTGGTGGTATTTTAAACCTAAATCAGCAGATAACTCTTTCCATATGTCATTCTGAATTTCTTCTCGTTATCTGCAAAGTATAAGACAGTTGATTTAAAAGCAGAGATTACGATATGCAGCATTTTGATGTGCTTTGGACATAATGCGAGACTCTTTTGATGTGAGTAGGGAGAAAATTGTTTTTCACATGTGTTATATATCCATGCAACTTGGTCTGTAACCTTTACCAGATTTCATAGATTTCCTGTTTTGAAGTGCCTAAGGAGGGTACAACTCACATCCTTATTGCAGGTAAGTTTATTAAAAGGCATAAGGACAGTTACCAGTGATTAGAACAAGCTCCAAATTTTGTTTTTCTGGGCTTAGAGACTTTGGATTAAAATAACCCTCCTTTAAACATCAAAAACTCTAAACTTTGCAAAAATAGATTTCTCTGGAATTGTAGAGACTGTAGTGCAGAAGCAATAAAATCACGTTCTAAGAGTTTACCTTCCTTTTAGATTTCTTGATAGTCTAATTTAAGGTCTACTAGTAGGGGACCTAGATTTCATATTCTGAAATTAGCTCTCACATGCTTTTTCTTTTTGTATCTCTACTGCTTTAACAACTGGACTTATATATATACATACACATATACATGTGTATGTATATGTATATGTATACACACACACACACATAAATATCTTATATATATGTATATATATCTTATATATATATATATATATAATGATTTCTTGCTCATTGGCCTTCTTTGTTGCCTAATTTTGCAGTGGGGGTACAGGCCAGTGCTTTTGAGCAGCCATTTTGGAACAATAAGGCATAGTTTGCTATTACTAGCAGTGTTATTTTATTATGTGGGATGACAACTTTTTATGTTTATTTAACTTGCCTTTGTAGGGCAGTCACTCTTTTATACAATCCTCATATCAGAGTAATCTGGGATGATGGTTTAGGGGTAATGAGATCAGAATGTGTTAACTTCAGATCCATCATCCTATTACAGTCATTTGCACAAAGTAGTCCCTACATGATAAGGGTACTTTACTGGAAGGCTGACAAGAGTTGCAATAATCCAACTGTGATTAGTTTACAGCTTTCACATAGTGTGAGGTGTCCAAAACAGTCTTTGATGCCAGCATAACAAAGATAACTGAGGTAGTTGGCCAATCACCATTTTAAAGCCCTTATTTTTCACATTTTCCCTAGTGTTAATGCAATACAGATTTTGGAATGAAATATCCCATTGGCAGTTTGAAGGGGAAACTTGGGTAAATTAAGTTTTGTGTAGTTGCCCTATCAATTTACAATATAAATAGCTTACTTATGCTACTTTCTATTCTAAGTCACAACTACAAGTACCATGAAATAACCATCTCTTTATGGTGGTGCAGCAATATAATTGAGAGATGAATTCCTGAATATTTAATTCCTTTTACTTTATTCTGATAAAAAGGACCATTTTGGAGGAAAGAATGTACCCCAAACAAGGATTCTCTTATTTTTGTAAATCTACTGCAAATTTGATTAGATTAAGAATATAGCCTTACTTGATTTATCATTTTGACTTTTTTGCCTGGAAATGCCATAGCAGCTGCAAAATGTCAGAAACTGTTATTCTGAAAATCAAGTGTCTAATTAGAAAGATGAGCCACAGAGGTAATGGGACTTACTTTTTAAGAACAGTGTGTCAGATGCTTAACATGTTTCATCATGACCTAGTATATGGTAGAGTTCTTAAGAACATGATCTTTGGTGATATACCTATATCATCAGTCATGCTAAAACCATTTCCTGAATTCTGTCTCTCTCTATATATACGTATATAAGACAATGCAGAGTTCTGCAGAGGTCACCTGGAACCATTTACAAAAGCGACTTCAGTCAACTATTTTTTGAATTTCATCCAGACAACAGAAAAAAAACAGATTCTAGTAGTAGCAGATGTGCACAGGCTGATGTAAAATAACTTTCTGAAGAGATGAATCTATGTAGAGAACACACATAAAGAATGTGACCTGCAACTGAATTAATTCTTCTATTTTTAAAACTGGTAATTTTTTGTTGTTTTTTAAACTCTAAAATCTCAGAAATTGGGATGTTGGGTTTTACTGAACTGCTCTGTCTCAGATCCTCTCTTGCTCAAGCTTGTCTGGGAATTTCATTCAATTTTCAATTGCGGGGGAGTTGAAGGCATTTCAGCAAAACAAACAACTGAATGGTGTGTCAGCTAGAACTTGAAATGTTTGTTTTAGGAGCATTTTTTAACATAATAAAGTAGTTGAAATAAACAAAGCTCAACTAGAAAGATATTAAAATACCTTGAAGAAGAGGTTTCTTTGATATATTTTCTTGAGAAGCCTAGAACCATATAAATGCTTTTAAAGTTCAGTCATATTGGAAACCTCAGCCACATTGTTCTGCCTGAAGTATGTAATTACACCCGTAAGGAGAGGTGACACTAGAAGACATACATCTGGTTAGTAAACTTATCCAGTCTTCTGTCAGATGCCCTTCAAATTCCAAGCATAAATGTAATAATAATAACTAGAGTGAAAGGAATGTGGGAGTCATTGCTTAGGTTTAGCCTGTCCATGTCCTTAAATCAGGACAACTTTAAAAGTATAGGTACTCCTTTTGGGTTCCTGGACCCAATTCCTGTGTGTGTGTGTGTGTGTGTGTGTGTGTGTGTGTTCTTCCCATGGACTTTACCAAGCGAACACCAGCAGGGTGTGTGTGTGTGTGTGTGTGTGTGGGTGGGTGGGTGTGTGTTCTTCCCATGGACTTTACCAAGCGAACACCAGCAGGGTGTCCAAGAACTCAGTTCTGATACTATCTGCCTGGAGACAGCAGCACATTCCCTGAGGTAAGGGCTCCGTCCTGCAAGACTGCACTCCACCCACGACTTTAGATGCCAGACCTCCTCTTGGGCTTAGTGTGCCATAGCATCTCACAGAGATCAGGAAAACATTTGTTTACCAGTTTAACAGAGGATACCATAAAGGATGCAAGTTTAATAGCAGATGAAGAGTATATTGGGATACTACTAGTGAATAGAGGCTAGGATGCTTCTAAACATCCTATGACACACAGAACAGTTCCTTTACAACAAAGAATTCCTGGCCCCAGATGTCAGTAGTGCTGAGGTTCAGAAAAACTCTGCTCTGGGCAAATGTATCAGAATCAGGGTATAAATGTTGGTTAAAAAACAGGCTGAGAACTATGAATCTAGTAAACCATGATATTCTATTTTGAGTAATTTATGAAAAACATACACATTAAAAATACACATTCATTTACTCATTAATCAACAGACATGCTGCAGTCCTCCTTAACTGAGTACCACTACTCCAAGTATTTAAGATTCATCAGTGAAGATAAAAGACCCTGCCCTTGAATACCTTTTGTTTAAGTAGGGGAAACAGAACAATTAAACATAATAAATAATAAATTAGATAGTGTTTGAAAGCAGTGTAAAAAAATATATGGCGGATTAAGGACACTGGAGCACTGGGAGAGGGGAGGACAAAGGGTGGGTTGCAATGTTAAATGAGTGCAACAAAATCTCACTGAGGTGACGTCTGAACAGATTTAAAAGAAATGAGGGAATATAATGAATATATATTGCCCTGAAAATGCAGTTTTGGCTTGCCTTCCATTCACAGGAAAGGGGAGTAGATTGTGCTAAGTGCTTAGAGGGATGCAAAGTTAGGTCAGATACAGTTCTCCTCTCATGGAACTTCATGATGAACTAAGTTATCTTGGAAATGGTAGAAAAACAAAGGCATCCAACGCAGGACATTAATTTTGACCTATATTGTTTGCTCCTATTTTGATACCTTTTCGCGGTGGGGAGAGAACAGGTTAATGATCAGCCCTTACTTCTCACTCACCTTCAGCAGCCGCTGCTTCTCAGGAAGGTTAGATGGTGGCCTGGGCTAAACGGTGAGAGGAGGGGGAGTGTTGGCACTGGGTCTTGAGTACAGGCCCAACAGCAGTGGGGTCAAAGAAACGGAAAGAAGTGTGACTTAGAAAAGGGGCTAATGATTCGGAAGAAAGGCACCCAGCATCTCTATTAAACTTCCTTGCTGACAACCACCAGTTTTCAGCAACGACCAAGCATTTACAGCAAGCCTTCTTCGCTCTCTGCCTCTCAGGTATGGGAACAGCACTAGGAGCTATGCCATTCGAGTTGGGGATTATCATACTCTGGTGCCAGAGGAATTTGAAGAACTTGGAGTTGAACAGATCGTTATTCACCAGGATTATCGACCTGATGTCAGTGACTATGATATCGCCCTGGTTAGGCTACAGGGACCAGAAGAGCAATGTGCCAGGTTCAGCAGTCATGTTTTGCCAGCCTGTTTGCCATTCCGGAGAGAAAAGCCTCAGAGAACAGCCTCCAACTGTTACATAATGGGATGGGGAGACACAGGTAAATGGTGCAGAGGAACAAATGAGATCTGGACATCTTGTATCTGGGGTTATCTATGCATTTGGCAGACAATGGGTAGTAAAATCCTAAAAGGTTCAGGCTTAGTTATTTGGAAATACTGACAAGAGTGAGATGCACGCATATAAATTGGAGGTTACTCGTTGGTCCCCATTACCAGCTTTAACACAAACCCAATAAAACTCTATTGCCAGTGGGGCTTAAGGGATAAATCCTGGACTTTTGGTTCCCCAGACTATTGAGGACACAGATTTTAAGAGCCTACCCCAAGGCTTGGGCCTCACTGTCTAGATTTTAAAACTTTCTTTCCCAGATGATTTGATTTAGCCACCCCAGACTTTGCTGTTTCTTTGTAATAGAGCTCTTTATCAAACAGAATCTCAGGGAGAATTCTTAAATATGGAACAGACAAAAGCAGAGCTGCTGAATTTGAGGGACCAAATCCAGTTTTTTCTCTTTATTCCTTCTCCTTTCCCATTCTTCCCACCTCCCAATCCCCAAGCAAAAGTATGTTTATCTCAGGCAACTGCTTTCTGTGTTCTTTGTCTTGCTATAGAGTTAAATCCATGTGTATCAGCTACTGCTTGCTCACAACAATCCACGAAACATCAAATCTAGATCCCACAAATGATTCCTGAATACAGAGAAATGATTGGCTGATTGTGTGCCATTAAAAATGACTACCACTGATAACTGTATTCTTAAAAGAGCACCAAGTATTTCTACAGGTGATAATTTCAATAAAGTGTTATTTATAAAGCATTGTCTGGATGTACAAAAAAATAAATAGTTTTCATTCAATTGTGATCTTAGTTCCTACATCATTTCTGCTATGCTATCATTGTTAGTTAAAAAAATTATTTCCAAAATGTGTGGATATAACACAGATACTGTAATATTCTTTATATGTTTAACAAGACCACCACCCAAAACATGACAGATATAGTTTTTATTTTCAATACTTAAATGTTTATATACTAAAGTCTCTGCTTTCATACCTTGGATAAAAAGTGTCACCAAATTGTAATTCATGGACACCTCAAGGGAAACTATGTAAAGATTCTGGTGGAAAAATTTCAACCTCCACACTAGCACTTAAGCAGAGATGCCAACTAATGGGGACTGAGATCCATGTTTTGTGTTGTGATAAAAATTGTGTACCCCTTTACTGCTTGAGAAATTTGTGATGTGAACAATTTTGGTTAGATACTTGGTGTAGTACTTTTTATCCTTAATAATATCTGAATATTTCATTGTTCGTTTTATCCCATGCTACATTAAATCTGGATTTTAGATTTGTTACATTTCATAGCAGTAGTGTAGAACATCTGTACTCGATACAGAATACTGAAAAAGCACTGGGACCAATCCTGAGATACACTAAACATTTCCTTGGTGATACAGTAAAAACCAAAGTTGCTGCCTCCTCAGTACACTTCTCTTGTGCTGATGCATGAGGGAAATCTAATCTTGGAGGTCAAAGTATACTTAGAATAACAGTTACTTCATCAGGGAGGGTTCAGTCACCTTCCTTTTCACACATCTGAACAGAAATGACTAAGGAAGTAAATTTTACAGAATGTTTTATTATGGTGAATTATTCCAGTTGAGTAAATAGAGTCAGAGAAAAGAGGTGGAATTTAGATCTAAGAAAAACCTATCATGGAGGACATATCAATTAGACATTTTAGCCACTAAAAAGAAATGAGTGGTTTACTAGTAGAGTACTAACATCAAGTGGTTCAGCTTAAGCCTGTATATAGGTATGTTTTGTTTCTGAATCATCTTTATGAAATGCCATTTTTCTATTTAGCATAGTTATTGCCACCTTTTGTGCCATTGTCACTTGTAATTAATCCTCAAAAGTAAATGAAGTAGATGAATCTTTAGAGGAATGGATATGCTAATACAAAATCAACATGAATACATCCCCAGCTTTTTAACATATGGAATTCAAATACTAAAGCCTGCACCAATGTGCCTTCTTTAGGTTACCTTTTTCTGTAGCCTAATCCCTAAATGTTACATCATTCCTCAAAAAATTCAGTACTGACAGATTAGTGACAGGTAAAAGTAATGTTAAGTGCAAACTTTTACAAAAGCAGCTAATGACACTGTTGTAGTCCCTCATTTAAACACTAATGCCACAATAGTTTTTATTTTCAAGACTTAAATGTTCATTAAATTGTCAAAAGTTTTTTGTTAGGATTTTAGCTGGAATCTAATTCGTTTTATTTGGTTTGAGTAGGACGAGCCTATTCAAGAACCCTACAACAAGCAGCCATACCTTTACTTCCCAAGAGGTTCTGTGAAGAACGTTATAAAGGGTCGGTTTACAGGAAGGATGCTCTGTGCTGGAAATCTCCATGAACACAAACATGTGGACAGCTGCTAAGGAGACAGCAGAGGACCCCTCGTGTGTTCGGCCAGGAGAGAGCTGGGTTGTATATGGGGTGACCTCCTGGGGGTATGGCTGTGGAGTCAAGAACTCACCTGGTGTTTATACTAAAGTCTCTGCTTTCGTACCTTGGATAAAAAGTGTCACCAAATTGTAATTCATGGACACCTCAAGGGAAACTATGTAAAGATTCTGGTGGAAAATTTTCAACCTCCACACTAGCACTTAAGCAGAGATGCCAACTAATGGGGACTGAGATCCATGTTTTGTGTTGTGATAAAAATTGTGTACCCCTTTACTGCTTGAGAAATTTGTGATGTGAACAATTTTGGTCAGATACTTGGTGTAGTACTTTTTATCCTTAATTAGCATTGCTGCCTTTCCAGATTGGTGTCCTGAGACTTAAATTCCTTATTCCCATTTGAGCCTTAACTTAGCTCTGCCTATTTGTCAGCATTCTCCAGTGATTTTTTATATTGCTTGTGCAATAAGGCTGTTTTTACACTTGGATTGAGAATGCTATAACTGAATCAGTATAGTATATGAATTCATATTAAATGCCCCCTTGACATAAAATACTCATTACTACACTCAAAATAAGAGCGGCATTGTTTAATTTCTAAGATTTTTTTCAGAAGGCTGACAAGATATCTTCAGTCTCTATAGCCTTTGTTACATGAGGAACTCAGGGCCAAAAAAAAAAAAGGAATTCCATTATAAACCTAGGCTGGTTTAATAGTCACAGTACGTTCCTAAATGAAGCTGTTGTACACAAGCACAATGGCAACAATGACAAAAAACACCTTTTAGCGTACCTTGTATGTCACTAGAAAGTTTGGAGTAATTCCCAATATAAGAATGCCTTCAAGTTGCTGAATGTACAACCTCATTTTCTACCCTACTTGTTAATATTATCTACTTTTGATTATTTAATAACCACTTCAGATATTTAAGTTGGTAGACTCTTCTTAGCATCGTGCTCCTTTTCTGGGCCAGAATGTTAAGAGTGCCATCTACTGCAACTCTCTGGTAACTGACATGAACCTGTTGATTTCCTGACTCACCCATACAGTCGTATCTTACAAAAATGCACTATTAAAAATTCTTCCCCTGACTATACAGTGGGAAAGAAAATGCTCTAAAATAACCTTTCAACCAATTTGATTCATACACCAGTTTGTATATCCAAGTGATAGATGAATCAAGAGGTAAAGAGGTCAGTGTGAACTTAACGGTAGCAATCCTTTTAAATAGCTAAGTCATCACGGAGGGACTTTACCCCTTTCCCTTCTACAGCAAATTCTTTTGTAAATCCTCAGCTTTCTTAAAAACTGGTGCTAACCTAAAGGTGTTTTGTAGTTTACTACCTTGCATAACTGCAATGCTGTGTCAGGCAGAAAGCATTAAAACTTTTCTAAAAACTCATGATTTTGATAAAGGAGGAACTTTTCAAACTTTTACATCTATAGGATACAGCTGCAGACAGTGCACATTTGTTCAAAGGTTTGGGGAAAAAGTGCAGTAAAGCCAAGAAAACCTACCTTTACTGAAACTTTCTCACAGGCCACCATTACAATTAGTGTGAATGAAAGCAACACTGATATTTAAATTTTAACTAGACCTGAGAATGGGAAACTTAAAGGACAGTAACAGGTGGCCTCAAACATCTGAGGATAGGGTTCATAAAATATGCCTTTATTATAGCTAACTTTTTCTTGTTAACGTGTGATTTTTGAAAGATAAGTGTTCAGTGCACATTTGTGTAAATAAAGTGCACAGCTGTTCACTTATATAGCCGCCTTGATCTTTGACTGTTCTTTCCCCCTCAGGGGTAACCTGGTTTTTATGTTATCAGTTTTCCCCCAAAATGCTGTACCGTCTTACAGTACTCATTCACACTACCTCCACAAGAGCTCCTCACAGAACAAGAGGAAGTCTATTATTTGTAAATATTTTCCACCTATTATTAATCATCAGTCAGGGAACACTGAGATGAAAAATCATTTTATTTAATTATAATTATAAAGCACTAATTTTCTCCTTAAATGCCATACGTATGAAAAATAACATTCAGGCCTATACTGAAAATACTGCACCGGGTGCTTCCAGACATCATTCGCCACTGAATCCCCAAGCTGCTGAGCTTTAGTATCACGTTTGGCAGTGCACTGCAAGCTGCTTAACACACTTCATCCCTATTACTTTTGATTTCTTGATACCTGCAATAGAAGAAAACCAGCTTTATAAAACATTGTGTACTTACCTTACTGTGCTCAAATCATAGCCATTTCTGTGACTTTCTACTCAGATGGCTACTCTTTAAAAAACGAGCCGATTTTGATCTTCCAATTTTTTAGCACCAAGTTTTTCAGATAAACTCGGGAATACGATATAAAGGTACCTTGTATCTTCCATCACCTATAGGAAGAATTAGTTCAGCCTCCTGAAAACATTTGAAGAACAGTTTTCCCAATAACCCAGCACCCTCCAGGTTTTTAAACTAAATGTTACTTGTGCAAGTCAGAATCTGATACCAATTAAATGGTGACAGCTTTGCCAATAAACAAGAACATACTCTTCCATGGCTAGGAAGGGAGACTGCCACAACTGACAGGTCCCAAAGACACATGGAGATCCACAATCTCAGAACTGATCAAGCACAATTCCAGACAGCACTCACCCAGAGGGTCCTGCTGTGGGACTGCCACAACTGACAGGTCCTAAAGACACATGGAGATCCAAAATCTCAGAACTGATCAGCAAGCACAATTCCAGACAGCACTCACCCAGAGGGTCCACTGTGGCGCGTATCAGCGTGCGGCGTTACTATTTAAATAGCACCGGAGTAGACTCCAGACTGCCGCACGGTATCGACAGCGTTAACTAACGACCTTCACCGAAGTCAGGGTGCCCGGAACTCTTGCCGACTGCCAGCTGCCCACGAGCGACCCCTCTCGGTCTCAGCGGCCAGGGCTGCACGTGGCGACCGCGCGACTTAATGAATGTCTAAGTTCGTTCAGGCTTTGGAACCTGGAGGTTTTCAATGCTGGCTTCGATCTACCACTACTACACTCTTGAATCTCCTGCATCTTAACTAAGCGAAAAAGTTCTGTCCCAATTATTTCAAAATTGAAAATTCTACCGGACACCCCACCGATAAGCGACGCTTCCGAATGAGAAAGGCCACGGCGGTCTGCGCATGCTCTCTTATACAGCTGATGACGCCATTCCGGGCTGCTCTGCGACGGGCGGTGCCTACGCCTATTTCGCCCTCTGCCCCGCCCCAGTCCCGACCCGCCCCTTCCTTGGTGGCCCCTCCCTCATCTCCTCTTCGGAACTTCTCCAGCCCATCCTTTAGGTCTGGGCCGCTCTCCCGCCCAAGATTGTGACGCATGCGCATAATGGGTGTCCAGACGTTCTCGTGGGACCGGGGAACTGATGCTAGCGCTCGCCGCCTGACTGAAAAGGTGAAGAGACGGCACTTAACCCTGTTTTCTTCAGGGAAGTTATTTTGGAAAAGTACCGTATGATTTCGCTTACATGTAGAATCTGAAAAACAAAAATTAACAAACAAAATTGAAATCGATTCATAAACACAAGAGAACAGACTGGTGGTTACTGTAGGGGAGGAGCGGTGGGGGGGAATGGGTGAAACAGGTGAAGGGAAAAAAACTCACTGTCGTTACTGACACGCAAAGTTCGAAGTTCTCCGCTTAACCTTACTAATTTATATAGAACTAGCTGATTTTTTGTCTCTTTGTTACTACTGGAATTGCTGTTCCTGAAGTGCAAGTGTCAATGGTCTGCAGTTTTTTTTTTTCAGGGGGTCTGATCTCTTAGTACTATTTGCACTCTTTACCGAAAGCCACCAAATGGTTTTGTAAACATAAGATTAAGAAAAGGAAAGGTTGTTAGACCAGGCGAGCTACAGGACACCGGGTGTGTCTGTGAACATTTCCCCAGTTGCAGTTGGATCCTCCGTTGTCTTCATCTCGCCACATCATCTCTCTCCGTTTTAAAAGCGGACGTCTGGGTCTTGACTCTGCTGTAGTTTCTTTTGAGGGTTCAGTTCAAGAAATGGTAGAGTTACTGTTTGTAAAGTGGAATTACAACCGTTCAGGAATACTTTTAAAATGGCACTAAGTTTATTTTCTATTTTCCCTTTTCATTTTCCTCCGATATGAAACAAAAAGAAGGATTCAGGTGAAGCTTTTACTTAGTAGTAGACTGTTTCAGGGAGTATGGTGCACAGTAGCTGTCAAGGAAAATGGTATCAAGAGATCTGGTGAGTAAAGCAGTACTGTAGATACACAAAGAAGCTTCATAAAAATCATTACATACTCTTGTGGGGTAAAGAATTAAGTAAGAGCAATCATTGCCGTTATGGTTAGGGTTGGAATGAACAAGTTTATAGGGAATAAATTTTAATTGGAAAGAACTAAAGCTGTTTCTAAGGCTCATCTTATTTCACACTGTCTTATTTTCTCTTGCTTCACCTACGTTTACTCATTTCATCTCACTAGTGAGTAGGAAGAACTGTTCAATAGCAAGGCATAAATACTAAATCACAGTGGGGAGTTTTGCCCAATTCGATTTTATTTAGAATCTCTATCCATTTGTACTTTTCTGCTATGGCTGTCTTCACAGAATACCACACCGGCGGGGTGGATTAAAAACAGAGACTTATTTTCTCACTCTTCTAGAGACCAGAAGTCTGAGATCAATGTCCACAGGCTTTTTCTGAGGCCTCCTTGGTTTGTAGATGGCCTTCTTTTCCCTGTAGCTTCACATAGTCTTTCCTCTGTACTATCAACAACCTAATCTCTATTTATAAGGACATCAGCCAAATTGGATTAGGGCCTGTCCTAATGAACTCATTTAATCTTAATTACCTCTTTTAAGACCCTGTTTCCACAGTCATATTCTGAGGTCCTGGGGGTTAGGACTTTACCATCAGTTTTCAGGGACCACAATCCATCCCATAACACTGTCCACTTTTGCTAAACTCTAAAGATTTACTGAAGATTTTTATATGAATGTTTTGTTTGGGTTAAGGGCTCAAACACTGTTGAATGAAACAGTCCCTATGTTTTCTCCATCTTGAACATGTCTTCCCATTTATATATTTTTTCTTTTTTTAAAAAATTGAAGTGTATTTGACATATTAGTTTTCAGGATTGTTTGTTCTATTTCTGCGAAAAATGCCTTTGGAATTTTGAGAGTAATTGCATTGAATCTGTAGATTTCTTTGGATAGTGTGGACATTTTAACAATATTCTTCCAATCCATGAGCACGGGATATCGTCACATCTATTTGTGTGTTCTTCACTTTTTTCATCAGTGTCATAGTTTTCACTTTACAGTTTTTTCACCTCCTTGGCTCAATTCATTCCTAAGCATTTTTTCTTTACAATGCAATTGTAAATGGAATATTTTTATTAATTTTTGTTCTGATAGTTTGTTATTAGAGTATATAAATCCAATAACACTTTGTATGTTGATTTTGTATCCTGTGACTGGAATTTTGGTGGAGTCTTTGTGTTTGCTATATATATAGTATGTCATCTGAAATAATGACAGTTTTACTTCTTTCTTTCCAATTTGGGTAGCGTTTATCTATTTTTCTTGCCTAATTGCTGTGGCTAGGACTTCCAGCACTGTACTGAGTAAAAGTGGGGACAGTGGGGATCCTTGTCTTACTGCTGATCTTAGAGGAAAAGCCTTTGGCTTTCCATCATCGAGTTTAATGTTAGCTATGGGCTTGTCATATGTAATCTTTATTATGCTGAGGTCTATTCCCTCTGTACCTATTTTGCTGAGTTTTTAAAATCATAAATGGATGGCAAATTTCCATCTATTTTTATCTGTCAAAATTCTACTTACTTTTGAATGCTTTGTTCATTATTACTTGTTCGTTCAAATTTCATTGCTCCAACTGAATTTTTTTTCCTTTTTTGACACACTAGAGTACTTGCATTTTTCTTGTGGTGTCTTTATTATGTTAAAAATGCCTTGTGGTGAAGGACTGTTTCTCTTTTTTGAAGTGCCTAGCAGAGTGACTCACATTAAGTGAACACTCAGTTGCATTATTGAATACATTGAGGTACTTGATATATGTTTTAGGAATTAAGAAACTTACATATTTATTTTAAAAAGCCATTTCTCTCCAGGAATAGTTTAATCCCCCTTCCCTACCCCAACAGCAACTTGAGTGTGGGCAGTGTTCAGTGACACTTTCAGAGAATAGGCCAAGGTATAACCTTACAGTGAAAAAATCTAGCAAACACTGCTGAAGCTAGGTGACTAATGTTAACATCAGTAATAAGACATGTAGATGTATACTCTGATAAGATGTGATGAGAAGAAGATTTCACCTTTCTCTGTGTTATATTCTGTAAGGTCCTAACCCCAGTCTATCCATGAGAAGAACATCAGACAAAATCAAATTGATGGACATTCTACATTATTACCTAATCAGTACTAAAAATTATCATGGTCACGAAAAACAAACGTTTGTGAAACTGTCACACCAGAGGAGATGATGCACTGTGACTAAATGTAATGTGCCATCCTGGCTGAGATCCTCAAGCATGAAAAGGGCCTTAATGGAAGACTAGTGAAATCTGAATAAAGTGTGGAATTTAGTTGATGAAAAATGTGCCAGTTTTGGTGTCCTAGTTGTGACAACTGTACATGGTATTGTAAGATGTGAACAAGAGGGGAAATTAGGTGAGGGCTGTGTGGGCACTTCCTGTATCATTTTTGTCATCTTTCTGTAAATCTAAAATATTTTAAATGAAAACTAAATAAAAAAAGCAACCAACATTCTTGAAGATCATTCTTCAACTATGTTACTTATCACTATTTTCTTTTTCCTTTTGTGGTTTCAGTATAAATTATTGCAATCATTAGAAAACAAAATTAACATAATTGCACATTTCTCAAGAATGTTAAGACGAGTGGGAGAAAATATAGTCAGGAAATGGCCTGTGGGCTTGTTTGCACTTTCAGAGACTTAGGGCGCCTCAATCTGCAGTTGCTGTGTACTAGCAATGTGATGCTGCTGCTAAGAAAATTGTGGTACTAATAATACAGTGTCCAGAAGAGAGGAGTGGAGAGTTCTCTATGTGCTGGAATAGTCTTTTCAGTTCTGAACATTTTGCTCAGTTTTAAACATTTACAAGACTCCAGCAATTGTTTATTGAGCAGACGGCCCTTGCTTTGAAACTAAAATTGAACTGAGTTACTTATAGTCAGTGATACCATAATTTTTCCAAATTATTCAGAGTTCAGAGACTAGGAATTAGCTTTGATTTCTCTTTATCCTCCTTTTTCAATTTTTAGTTATTTCTGTGTTAGTCCATGTATTAGTTATCTATTCAAATTAGCCTAAACATAATTAATTAAAACAGTAAGCATTTATTATTACATAATCTCTGTGGAGCAGGAATTCAAGAGCAGCTTAACTATCTCTGTATCTCATGAGGTTGTTGTCAGGATGTTAACTGGTGCTTTCAGGGTCCTCTTCCAAAGCGGCTCACTAGTGAGCTCGGCAAGTTAATGCTTACTGTTGGCAGGAGGCCTCAATTCCTCAGCATGCATGTCTGTGTAGGACTGTTTCAGTGTCATGGTGTGGCAGCTGGCTTCCCCCAAAGTGAGTGAGTGATCCAAGAAAAAAAGTTCCAGTGATTTTATGACTGAGAAGTTGACACATCATTGTAGAAGTGAGTTATTAATTCCAGCTCCCACAGAAAGGGAGGGAAATTAAGCTCCATCTCTTAAAGAGGGGAATATAAAAATTTGTCAATGTAAGTTAAAACCGTTACAGTCGGAATGAGTGAGGTGGTGTTGCAGGTACAAACCATCTAAAATCTTTGTGGCTTAAAATAACACAGGTTGTTTCTTGTCATGTTCTGGTCCATTTTAGAGACTTAGGCTAGTGAGGCCTTCACTATTAGTAATACTTCTAGGAAATGAGAAGGGAGAAAGGAAGGTAGAGAATCACTTGTTCTTAAAGGTTTCAATTCTAAAGTGACATGGACCAAAGCAAATTGCATGGCCACACCTAACTTCAAAAGGATGCAGAAATGGAACCCTACTATGTGCTTAGAAGGAGGAGAATCAGAAATAGCAATGGATAATGTAATTATATATATATATATAGACATAGATAAACACACACACATACATTTAGTGT